TCACTTACACAGAGGAGGAAAGAGGACACTAGACTTCTTTGAAAGACTGAGAACATGGTTGAGGCCACAACAAAACTTCTTCTGGAATTTGAACTTTTGGAATTTGGCTCTTGTTCAAATACCCATCAGTTTAAATGACACACAGGTATTACGTCTGCAAAAAACACAAGTTAACTTATAAATCACACAAACTAAGACTCCCTCCCAGCTCTACCGCGAAGGGGGGACCCACAGGCTAAACACTGGAAACACAAATACACCCAGGGATGGTAATCATGTAACATTCCAGCTGACAGATCATAACAGTCAAAAACACATCTCATGTAACAGGGAGTCTTAATTGATTGAGGTTTGCTACAGTAGCTGACTAATTACCCCCCTCCCAGCACAGCTTGCGCCTGTGTAAGCAATGTGTCATGCAGACGCCTAATTAATTGACAAGACAGACCTGTTTGAATGATTAGTCTGAGCAGTGTCCTGGACAATTTAAACCTCCTTCCCCCCCCCAAAAAAATCTCCCCCTATGATGGAAATAAACAGGATATCATCTTAAGGCGCCTTTTTGTGGGAATATCCCTTGATTGTGTAAACTGAAACAAGATGTGAAAAACACCTCCACTCTCTGATTGAAATTATCCATCACACACGCATCCAATTTGGCATAACTCCCCAACAGGACTGTTCACTTGGCAGACAATAATCTGGTCTGAGTGCATGCCTGGACAACATTGGCTTATCTGCTGTCCACTGGTATTACATCCAAGTAAACCATCCCTGAATAAGTTAGGTTTAGCATCCAATGAATGACTGTCTTCTCCAACAGGTTTAAAGGGGATAAACTGCTCAGACTTTACAGTGGCAAAGGAGATTAAACACTGACAGGAAAGCTACAGGGCATGGAAATACTTCAGGGGAAGTCTGAAACAAGTTTAATGATATTTTGGCAAAATTCTGTTCAAAGATTATAATCAATTACAAGTGTGTGAATTTATGCACACATGAAAATGTGCAAAGTAGAAACAATCAAGGGTCCAATTTTGTTCATCTTTTCCAAACCCCAGTTTACCCAGTAGAGCTTCAACTGCTTCCCCAAAACCAGCATGTCTCTTTAATATCCCTGGATCAATTGCACTGAAGCTACATGTTCTAAAGAGGAAAGATGGTGATAAAAATCCAATACACAGGAATTTCAACAAAAACCAAAAGGGTTCATACCTATATGCAACCCTCACCAATCAAGCAGAGTTTTCTGAATAGGGTCTTCGAGACTTATGGCTTTGTACCCGAGTGGTGCTTCTTTTGATATGATCCAGTATCGCGAGAATCAATTTTCTTTATTTTCTCCCAACCTTAAGGTTTTTTCACCTCCATCCTCTTTTTTGGAAAAAAAATTATTTTCAGATTTCAAACAGATGTTGGACAGGCCTATACGGCACCTAGGATCACACACCACACAGGAAGGGCATACCATACTGTATGTGTAACTCCAACCAACTTTCAACTTTACATGTTTACATGCACATACATGTTTGTAAGGCTAATTAGTTTTGGTGACTGAGGAGTGGGTCAATCTTGCATACACACATGTATTTTATACAACAGGAAACCTTGAGCAACAAAGTTGTCCTTGTGGCTGGGGTGCGTGACTCCCAATCACAGGCTTGGGGGTTCCAATCCAGTGAGCCGGTTTACATGCTGTGACCCTGTGCAAGGCACTCTTTACACTTGCCTGTCTCCAGCAAGAGCAAAAATGAGGGTCTGGGATGCGTAGAGACAACACACGCACCAACACTGGCTGCTGACTGGTTTTGCCCACTGAACAGGGCAATAATGAGCCAGTTTGGTTTTAAAAAAAGCAATGTCATCTGAAAACAAAGCAAGTGCAAGTCCACCTTTTGCTGCACTGACTGGACAGACCTTGCACGTGCATCCAAATGACCTTGGATGTGCTTCATCTGGAGCATGTGCTATTGGAATGCCAAACTGACTCAATGTTAAAGGAACCTTGTAAGAGGGTTTTTAGTTGTTCCCAATCTCAATTGGGAACAGCTATTGTTTTCGTTGAAGTATTTTTTTTTCATTTTTTGTCTTTTTCTTCTTTTTCACTCTACAAGGTACTTTGGCAATTATTTTAAGTCCGATCAATTTCAAACTTAGTATAGTAATTAACCATCATCATAAGATGTGCCCCGAAACTTTTTGTAATCGTGACGTCATCAGGGGTCACGTGATCTCAATTCGAAAGTTCATTCTTTACAGTCTAATAACTATTAAACTATTTGACTGATTTAACTCAAATTTGGTATGCACATAGTCAGGGACGTGTTATAGATGAAAATTGATATCTTGACCTCATGTGACCTCTACATCCGGTTTGACCGGAAGTTGTATTTGAAAACAAAAATCATCATATCTCGTGACTTATAACATCTAATCAGATCAATAATTTACAGTACTGTTGAAGTCTATGGACAGATAATTGTATCACAATATTATTAAAATACCTTTTGTTTTCCGGTTATGATGTCATCAGTATTTTTTCTTTTTAGACTAACAACTGGAAAACTATTGGCCCGATTGAAGTCAAATTTGGTAAGTGGGACTTGTTATAAATGAAAATGGATATTTTGCCCTCATGTGACCTCTAAAACCAACTCGGAATGCAGTCAGGTGACCTCAACTTCCTGTTTGATCGGAAGTTGTATTTCAACACACAAATCATCATATCTCATGAACTATATGTTCAATTGCAGTGATAATTTGTTTTCCGTTATATATGCCACTTTGGCAATTATATTTAATCCAATTAATTGCAACCTTTATGATACTCATTGAGAGTCATCAAAAGACAATAAAAAACATTTTGGGAACAGCAATGTGTTTGTTCCCAAACACATTTTCTCTAGTTATGGCTTGAATACATGTACATGCACACTGTAGCATGGCTTTATTTACATGTTATGATGACCTTCCTGCTTCTCCGACGCAGTAATAAAAGGGAGAGATTTGGCTTTTTGGATTTTGTGCTAATGAAGATTTCCATATTTATGAGCCAAAGCATGATGTCATTTATGGCAGAACAGGAGTGTCTCCATAGCTTGTGTATAATATAATTCCCACTTTTCTCAGTGGTACATGTACATGTTCTTGGAGCAGGTTCCACTTCACACTTGGTTTTCAAGTTAAATAACTTTTTGCATGATTCTAGTGGCCAATATTTCCATTAAAAATTATTGGTGGATGATTTTGAAGGTTTGATTATTGGACCGTTCTTATGCTCTTCTGACAACATCAAAATAGCCCCTTCATGCAAACACTCATAAAAAGTTTTCGGGCAGCCACTGCATGTTTCCCTGAAGTGTAAAGTGCTTTAAGATCGTTGATATGGTGGGCAAGCAACTTATAATAGCATTACAGTTATCATTAGGTGACCTGGTTCAGACTGCATCATCTATCAGTTGTGCACAATTTCTACAGCATCAGCTTTGTACATAATGCACATAGCATGAACAAATAGCCTGCACCCTGAGGTATGCATTGACTCTGATGTTGCAATAAAATCAGTTATCAATTACAAGCAATTTTGCTTTTTGTAAAAATGCCCTACGGTTTGGTATTTCTTTCACCTCTGTCTCATGAACAAACAAGGGTGGTTGCTATTTTCGACAAATAACAGTTGGCTGCATCAAGACTTGTTCCGTACAATTACAGAATAGCCTGCTGAATCACCTTGTGTTTGTGACAAATAGTACGTAAAATTACCTCTTCCATATGACAGCCAGGAGAAAATCAATTTACTTGGTATTTCCCTGTTGGTTAGTGTACCCTTTGATATTTAAAATTACACCGCCTAGATAATATTTTTTTTCTTCCCCTGAAAATCAAGAGTTCATCCTCTTCTTGGATAAACACTGCCCAAAAGGAATGCCCCTCTGGGCCCACAAGTCATACAAGAAGTTCGCTTGATTTATACAGGAATTCCGAAAACTGCTCTTCAGAGTGACATCGAATGCCACACAGAATCTCTGGAGAGCTCAGCCCAAGTGTATTTTTAAAAAATTTGTGCATGCCAGGCATCAAAAATAGTTGAGGTACATATTTAACTGTCAATTCGAAAAAATATAAATATATGGGGACTTGAACGAATGTGGGATGGCTCTAGCACTGTGCAGAGAGCTTTATGGCCAGGCTTTCCATACATCATCATTTCTCTGCCCCCAGGAGTCATAAATTTGTCTGTGAGCTTGTCTAGCCTGACAATTCTATGTAGTGGTCTGCTGCCAGGCCCTTTGATGTTGGCCATTGGGGAAAACCAAAGGCCTATTGGGAATATCAGTAGCAGTCAGTGATAGAGCAAGGAACAGATGTGCAGTAAATGTTGTTGGCCTCTTTGTGTGTACAATGGAATGCTGCTATAATGAACAATGCCATACCTAAAAATCGGGTATACCAAACACTCTCCCTTGGTTCCCAAATTTTCTGTGTACTTTTACCCAACATTACAAATTTGTTTTGAATCAAAGAAACATATTTAGAATCGATGATATCGACTGAAAGTTTGGGAAAAATCGCACTCATGGTGGAACAACACGGCCTTGGCCAACGAGTATCGTGCACAGTCAGTACACCTATCGTTCATGGGCAATGTACAATGCAGTGCATGTATGTACAGGTACACGTAATGTGTGTGGGTCTACAGGCGGCCATGTAGACCGGCTGCTGAGTATGTGTATGCAGCACTGCCGACTCTAGTGCAGAAAACTGGTTATCACTGGTAACCGATATACATGTACATACAGTATACATGTAAGTGTAGTACTATAAAATAGCTCACAACAAAACATACCTCACAACAAAACAAAGAAACAAACAAACACAGACCAACCACGTGCACTCACAGTCAAGGACTCAGTGCCTTCGCTGGCCAATTGACATGGTCACATCATACCTACGGCTTAAGACCTGAATGAAACAAGTTTTGAACTCCTGCTGATACTTACAGGCATTGCCGTCTGTTCCTAGGATCTGCTTGTATCCACCATGGCTCAGCACTCGCAGCAATGTCTGGGCTGTGTAGGCCACTTGATCCTGAAAACGTAGGAGAATCACACAAAAGCCTCCTGAGTGACAACAGAAGAAACTACTTTTGGAAGGGACAAACTAATGTAACTTCACAGTATCATCCCAAAATAAACAGCATGGAGCCACCCAGCCCACTTTTTATTCAGTCAAAGACCCTTGACTTGAGTGGGCTTCATAAATGTTTCGATGATGTGCTGGGGTGGAGGGGTACATGTAGCCTACATGTGAGTATGTATGTGCATGTAGAATGGCCCTCTGCAACTTATTCAGTTTAGATGGTACATGTAGCCTACATGTGAGTATGTATGTGCATGTAGAATGGCCCTCTGCAACATATTCAGTTGAGATGGTACATGTATATATACTTGATGATATCAAAAGTCAACTTGTGTTCCCAATGGTGCACACAGTGCGAGAACATGTGGGCTAATAACGCTCATCAATTTGTGGTTTTCTTTTGTTTCTGCAGCGTCTCAATTTGTACTACCAAAAGTGTGATTGGCTAAAAGTTTGTCAATTCAGGGAGTCAAGTTGGCATAGTGGTTCTTTGCTCGCCTTCCACCTCTGCAGCCCAGGTTTCAATTCCCAGCTCAGTCCACATGTGGATTGAGTTTTCAGTCCCTACCTGCTTTTGTGGGTTTTACCCAGAATATGCCTCTAGGGTTTTCCTCCCACCTCTGAAACTGTGACTGCTCCTCAATGTCTCCTCGCTACAGGTTTCTTCAGGCTTGCAAGCTACAGTGCCAAGAACACTCAGTTGAGGAATTCTTGGTGTCATTACCAGAAATTAAAAAATAAATCAAACTGAAATTGACAAAGACTGGTGGAAATGGTAGAGGACTGCAACCCCACGTACACATAGCTTTGATCTTGTCAAAACAGAGTGCATGATAATGGACCTGTTCCAATGTACCAAGCTTACAGCCCTCTGTGGACACCCCCCGCAAAAAAAAGCTTGAGAGAACATTTAGTAATATCCCTCAACATTTTTAAGGCTTGAGACTATTTAAGCCAGTCTTGTTCCCTCCTGCCTTTTTTATACCTACATGGGGCATGTCCTCCCTCCCCACCATCCCATCACCCAATCCCCTTCCCCTACTTGAAATTTCAAAATGTCCACAACCAATATGTACAAGCCAGGTTATTTGCCTTTAGTGCCCCCTTGAAAAAAAAAAGCGTGGGTGCCCTCAGAAATGTCACCCTAGTTACGCCACTGCTTTCCCTGCAACTTTGACATCTTCCAATAATGTTTAATGTTGCCACTTGCCACTCTTGGGAGCAAAAAGTACACTAGGAACATCTTGAAAGAGGTTTATGTAATGTTACATGTATCAAAGCGACTGAGTCGGGCTCATTTCAGTTGAACATTGAAGGAATGCACTATAAACAGAAAACTAACATCAGGTTTCAACCAGCACAGCACAATCCAGTGAGGGAGTTATGTTAACTGTTGGGGACTACTCCATTCAACTGTGTGGATGTTTGCTTTGACAAAAAGCACCCGAGTACCGATGGAGATCTTGGCAGGAGCCCTACTGATGAGAACAGCCTTCACTCCTCTTGGCTGGCCCGAAAATTCAATTTATCCCTCCCGGTCTGCCGGTGGTAGTCTTTCGATCAAAATTCCACTCCACCAAGCATCCCACCAATTGACACATGGGCAAATTAATGAAAAATTCGTACAAATCATTAAACAAAATTGCCGGGGCAGGCCTGTTACTGGAAAGTGCACGACCCTTAATGAGCTAAAGGCCGCAGTGTCTCTGAGAGTGGTGTCTGTCCAGTGCACGTGTGTGCACAAGATCAAACTTTAAGTCAAATAAACTGCCGGATGAATCAAATCCGTGCGCTGCAAATATCCACATTCTTGTAAATATTTTGAGGAGATTTGTCACTCGTCGGATACTAAATGAGCAACATTCAGGGGGGGAGGACTGAGACACTATCTCTGAGTGTCAGCTCTCGTGCATGTGTGTGGTATTTGGAATCAGTGAGAGAAGAGGCAAGAGGAGGCGGGAAATGGCTGACAGCCGGACTCACTTCAAAAAATTAATTGCAATATGATTCTGCTGTGCTTTTTCCCCTGACATTTGAAGAGAGACAGCCGGGCGACAGGGATGGACATCAGGGGAGCATCATGACTTGTAGCATCAGGTTCAGGCTTTACAATACCCAACGGGAGAAATGGTAGATGTTTCATCAACCCCAAACAATACCACCATGTGAACTTGGAGGCGACAGGGATGAGGGGAGGAAAAAAATTCACCGCCGTGTTGCGCGTGCAGGTATTCCTTAGGATTATTCAACAAGGCACGACAAGAAGTTTACCCTAACATACTGGTGACAATACCCATGCCTCCAAACTCTATGAGAATATCAAAGAACTCCCTTTGTATTCAGAACACTCCAACTGTTACACGGTGTGCGATTTTGATTTGAGTCCTCTGTCAGGGGTGATTTAGTAATATTGTGAGTCCCTCCTTTTACTTTGTAATACGTTGTATGTCATTTTCTCGATGCATTCTTTGTAAGTGCACCTTGTGTCTCGTTTAACATTATTTTTAAATTTTTGTTGGCTATTCTTGGCCATTTTGGTGCTTTTTTTTCCATTTTAGACTGATGTTGACTTTACATCTTCCTGACCAAGTGTGATGTCATCTCAGGACAAAAACCAACGTAACAGCTGGGTAATTCCAGAAATTAGGGGTCCCTTTTTTGTGTCCCTGTCACATCTGACATATGACTTTGTAAGTTCAGACCACATTTTCTAATTTCCAAGAGTGAGGAATTAATGCAAATTTCCTGCCAAACAAATAGTGATAGTTTGAAATCAATACAGGCTATTCACAAAAGTGCGCCTCCAAGAGTTTGTAACGCATTGGCCAATCACAACGCTCAAACTTTGTCGATCCTTTCCAAACGTGCATTGGGTCGACAAATTTTGCGCACTGTGATTGACCAACGCGTTGTAAACTCTTGGAGGCGCACTATTGTGAAACACCCAAATTCCGGTGATATTTCCATGTCAAATAACAAAGGTCTGATGTAACAGGGACACAAAAAGGTCACACTTTTGGACCCCTAATTTTTGGAATTACCCAGCTACCAGTGTTTCAACACAAAAATTTGCCAGAAGTTTGGAGATTTTGCTGTCTTAAAGTTTCCCTTCATTGACGTCACAAGCCAGTGAGCAGTTTTCTCACAAATGTTTATGATGAGCAAATGTTTCAATGTTTCTGGGTGTACTATTCTGCAAGATTAACCAAAAACGGGCATCAAATAGTTTCAAGTGTAGCAAAGAGGAAAAAAATTCACACAACATATATTTCCCCATTGAGGAAAATTCATTTCACAGATCTTTCAAAGTACACATTCCACACTTTGACATAAGGAACGTCTCTGCAAATCATGAATCCAAAATACAGCACTATGAAGATATTTCATTAACTGTGACCGACCATCTCGCTCTCCCACAAGAACACCACAAACAACTAATCTCAACACAAAGTGCAAGTGAAACCCACGACACACACTTTAGTTCTGTCGGTGCTTTCATGGTTAACTGGCACACGGTGAGTTTTAAACCGGTTGGGGATTTGAGGATGGCTGACGTTTGTGGAGCTACATTTCAACCATCATTGACAAGAAGTTCTTATGAGAACTTTTTAAGCGAGTGACAGAAAACGGCCCCGGTCGAACCAGCCCACTTTGACACCATGGGTTGCCAGTTAATATTCACACATATAAAGATTCACATTCCTCCAAGCAGTGTACAAAAGTGCAACGTTGAACTTCAGCCAACGCTCCAGAATACTCTGAAATTAATTTTTTGAAGGCACTTTGGCAAATGCACATGGGGCCACTTAATGGTCATTTTCGGTTGTGCGTACAAATGAGATTGATTCCTTGCCTCCAGACCAGTAAAAATGGCTTTTCATTTCCAGCTGTGATCTGGCTCCGGCAATGACACCTCTACAGACAACAAGGGAAGGAAAACTCAATTCCTTTTGATTACATCCAGTAGCAATATTCTAGAAAAAAAAATTAATCAGAAAGTTCTAGGGGTAGTGTTCGGTGGTTTATTATCATGGGCATAAATCTTGCAGAGGAATGGAGGCCATATCCCTCCCCGCACTTCTTGACTTGGGAGGATGGGACATTTAATCACACCACATTCTGGTGGTGAGACACAGAAGAGGTACTTTTATCTTTCAAACAGCAAAACTGAGAACAAGCATAAACTTAAAAAGAACACTTGTCACATAGAAGCCAAGGCACATATTAAGTATGAAGTATTAGTAACAAATGAGAGTATACGTAAGATGAAGCTCTTCATGCACAGTTCATGCATGTACACGTACCTACTAAGTGTCTCACCTGGTGTACCTTGGTGTCAATCCCTCTCCCCTTCTGCTTCCCTCCCCCCCATTTACTCTTGGAGAACAAGAATCCTCTACTTCTGAGAGTGGTATGTACAAACAAAGGAGGATCTCCATTTCTGGTTCCAAACATGGAGCCGAAACTTTCAATTCTGGCACAAAGTCACCTACATGTCAGCCTACAATGTACATGTGAGCCTACGCGCATGTACATGTATAATTGCCAATGACAGAATCTCTTTGCAACAGCATGGGTGCATTAAATGGGTCATTCTATAAAATTTTTGTCCAAAGTGTGACATTTTTCTGTCCCTGTTACCTCTGACATGTATACCATCTGACAAGTTTGACAAGGGATGTATTACTTAAAATTATCAGGTGTCTGAACGGGGATGAACAAAAAAAACCTGAAAATATTTTGTGATGAAATTAATCATGGGGAGATTACTGCGAGCACGGAGTGCAAAGCCTTTATGGCGTGGAGTCCAGGGCCCACTTAAGGGCCGCGGAAAATTTTGGATTCTAGATGGCTGTGGTGCAATCTGAGGCAATTCATGGGCCCTTTGCCTCTAATATTGAAGCAAAATCTTCTCAATTATAAGGGCATTTCTCATTTTATTTTTTTTT